AGAGAGAGAGGGGGGGGGGAGAAAAGAGAAGAGGGAGGGGGGAGAAAGAGAGAGGGAATTTAAGACAAATATTTTAATTTTCCCGATAGCTTCCATCGAGATTTTTATAATACCATCAAAATTTTATGAATTATTGATCCCAACCTTTTAATCGTTGTACAGGAATTTTAATTATCGGTGATATATAAATCTTTCGTTAATATTATTTCGTATAAAAATTGGATTTTTTTTATTATTTTTAGATCGGCCGAACAAAATTATATTTGAAGTACTTAATTTATATCTTGATCGACATTGCGAATATCGTATAAAGATAATGGTATTGTGTCGTCAATATTATCTCTGATACTCCTGTTGCATCGGGATTAACCTACACACAGGCTCTTTATTGATCCCAGATATGTATACAACGGGATTACATACTCGATACGTAAATAGCGAAATATGAGAATGGTCAAATATACCTCGCGTCAACGAATCGTTTAACTGTCGTAACTGTATATTCATCGACGTCAAATAAAGTTGACCTATAATCGACCACGGTCGCTAGCTACAATCTTCTGGTCGTAACCGAATGCTCGTAACGAGAAGCAGTCGTGCTTTTCAGCAATCGAAACTGCATACTGGAAGATTCTCAATCCTGGTGAACGGTCTGTGAGCTTTGTCGGACGATTTTGAACGTCCACTCGATCTGCTTTCATTCTGTAGTTCTGCTTGACATTTCCGGCACGATATTGCGTTTTTCGCCGTCGTGTTCGTGGCTCTTTCGCGCTTCTCTCATTCTCCTCTCATTCCTCACATTCCTCTCGTAGCCCTTTTTTATACAACGCACCCTTACGCCACCATATGTCCCATGGTACCAATAAATAGGAATGCAACAAAAATGAGAGAACAAGAGAAAAAAGGAGAGAGAGCAGGCAGGCAAGGATACAACCCCTGAACAGGTTGACGAGCGGTTGTTCATTGTTTTTCCGCGTCCACTGACCGGCAAAAACACAGTTATTAATATAGTATAAAGATCCCCTCCTGTCCGCCGAACTGTGCGCGGTGTCCCCCACGAAAGGGGAGCGAGAAGAGAAAACTTCTCGCCTGATTGCGCAAAAAGTTAGTAAATGTCACATCGTGTTAGCTGACTCTGCGGAATTCGACCTTGGTAAAAGTCTTTAACACCTCACTTTGGGATTGAATAGATGCCGTTACGTGTTCCATCTGATTAATCTTATACCGTGACAGTATAAAACGTTTTTTACTTGTAATTTTAGAATCAGTAATTATGAAATCGAAATAATGACGATACTTTTTGTAAAATAAAATACTAATAAGAGCAATAATTTTTATGTAGACAGGTAAGCTATACGTCACGAATTTCTTATTATATCTGAGATTACTATCCCCTCCTCCGAGTTGATTGCCGCCCAGAAAATTCAACACCATCCGTTTTTCTCGGGACTCCTAATCTGCAGTGATTTTACATCCAAATGGCGTTCCCGTTCGTCGAGAAAGTATTCGACGAATGGATCGTTGCCAGTAACGACTGCGCCTACGTTATTATGCGGTCGAATAATCGACAGATTCGATCTAGAATATCGAGAAAAGAGGCCGCGGTGATTCAGCTTCTAATAGAGATTTCCGGTTGATTCTGCAAACGTGAAGATACGCGTGCGTGATTGATTGTCTGAGAAACGCGAGGAGTGGCCGAGAATTGGTGGATGCGTGCGAGAGGAGGAACCGTCACCGTCGACGAGAAGCAAGACGAGGATGATAGAAGAGAACGCGGGATGTGAACGAGATAGAGAGGCGGAGAAGAAGAGAGTGCTGGGCGAAAAGACTAGAGGGTGGAACGAGAAGAGGAGGAAGAAGACATAAATTCCGAGCCAGTGTAAAAAGGGCGTTAAGAGGAGAAGCCCCGGCACCCCCGATATGTCAATATCCCGAGGAAATACGGGGCGGTACTTGGCTGGAGGGATAGTAAAAATAAAGCAAGCTTTATTGCCGCTGCTGCTGCTGTTGCTGCTTTTACTTCTGCCACTGTAGATATCTCATCGCGAGCGTCGATGTAATAGTGGAAACGTATTTCGGGAAAACGCCCGTCCTACATGATTCTTTCCGGCCGGGGATATCAATTGAACCAACTGTGCGCGTCTTGCTGTAAGGGTTACACAACATTTGAAGGGATTTTACGGTGCGCGGAGTAAGACAACAAGCAAGAGAAGAGAAGAGAAGAGAAGAGAGAGAGAGAGAGAGAGAGAGAGAGTGAGAAATTCGCAATTGGATTCTTAATCCTTCGATTCAGTTTCGATTACAGAGAAGTTTGTTTAAACGATAGAGTAAGGGGGACGAGCGCGATATCGTCGAGATAAAAGAAGTCTTCTCAGAGCTGCTAGGCGATTCGAGGGGATAAGGATTGGCGATACTCGAAAAGCGAAGGAGCAGAGACGCCCCGCAAGGAGGAATCAAAAGTGAGCGAGGGAAATCGGAGAAAAGACGAAAACGCGAACGAAGATAGCTTGAAGTAAACAAAGACGTACTCGGACGGCTTTTGTGGGGCTCTCTCAGTTTTCCTCTCTCCAGATCCTCTGGGTATCCTACTGTTGCCACAGCGTTCACTCACGGATGCTGCGCTTTCCGTTCGATTATTCAGAGACTAACGGCTATTAAATGGCTATTATTACAGATAACCATTTGGATAGCCACTCTCATCTCAATATTATTTTATGAGCTTTTTCGTGAGCTATCCGAAGTAAAAGAACAATTATTTTTCCAGCGTTATATTAGTGTAGTTTTTACACATGGCTTTATATATCGGTCATTTCTGTCACTATGTTATATTTTATTAAATTATTAATTATAGCAAATTATACATTTTTACCAAAGTAAAATTATATTCCACGTTAATATAAATACATAAAATGAGAATATATATGGTCTTTGTTCCAATAAATAAAGATTTCAGTGACATGGAAAAACATGAGTAATTAAGGCGATATTATCTCCATGCTAAACTTACATATATATTAGCTTCGAGCATAGACGATACGGTGCACGTTAATCGTGTTATGAACGTGATAAAGTTATCTTGTAATCGATGTGGTTCCGATTAGCAGGTTATGCAACCAATAATAGCGATTATAGGATACCACCAACGGTATGTTTATTAGATATAGATTGGCGTTTCTCATAAACTTGGAATATTACGGAATGATTAATAAACTAGATCAAAAATAGATCGCTGAGCAACGTTAATAATGTATAATTTATATAAGCGATATAATTACACATGCGTTACATCAGTATACGTTGTTAATTATTATTACTATTAGTTACACTCGTTGCAATTCAACAACGTGCTCTTCGTTTACTCAACGTTTCCTAAACGAGATAAATCCATGAAAAGTAGTTATAAATTTGCAGATAAAATAAAAATAAAACAAATATGCGTATGAAACTCGAGATACTTATATATTTATAATATACGCACAAAATTGTCCGATAGGCTTTGTAATAGCAGCCTTGCTGATGCCTCCACCATTTTATGTATTTTGCACTTTGCATGCGATAAATTCAATCAATTAAATTAAATTATGAAATGTGAATCTTATCTTTCAATTAATTGTAAAATTAAATCTTTCGTAAGAAACCAAAATTTTGCAAACGGATTTTGCTCGGATAAAAAATGCGTGACGTAGCCAGAGATCGAGGTCACACCAAAAATGTGAGGTGTCGCGAGCAGCTGCAGTTAGGGTAACCCACGGAAAATCGTGGCTGCAGGTGCAGTGGACGACAGCCGAACGAAGAGATCCACTTAGCGCTCACTTTACACAGCGTTAAATTCTAATGAAGTCGACGCTGCTCGATTTCACCGATCGGATCAGCCCGCCACGTAGATCGGGGATGCACCTTGTAGCCGACACGCGAGGATCGACCTCCGCACCGCGTCGTAATAGTCATCCTCCCTAGTCTACTGTATGTGGTCGGCCGTTGCAGGTATCTAATAATTTTCGTTTAAACGCGCGCGTCGCCGCGTCCGAAGAGCCCTTTCGCACAGCTGCTCACGGTAGGACGAAAACCGACGGTATTACTATGGTAATAGACGGAACAGCGGATGTGGTCCCTCAAAG